GCGGAAACATCATTATGCCCAAGCTGCTTTGGACTACAGATTTTAAATACACTTATAATATAAAAGACGTTTTGTGATAGCGCAGCGAGACAAAAACAGCTTTGAAAGATACCTCTGGTTAAGCCTAGAAACAAACACTTATCGTAGCGGTATTCACTTTATTTAATAACATGTTAACTAGCCGGAAGTTCACAATCTAGAACATGCCACTTTGTTAACGATTCGAGTGAAATGAACATCTGGGTGACTCTCTCACCTTAAAACGACGTCTTAAAGAAAGAAGTGGATCGAGAGCGGTGTTGTGTAGATGGGTACAGATGAGCCGTCAGTGATAGTCCAATCTGCTCGGACAATGGCAAAATTAAGAGGCATATTCATACTGGACCAAGATCTGAAAAAAGACGCAGGTGATACAAAAGTCCAATAAATCTATTGGCTTGAGACATTAACTTTAGTGAAAAGAGAATACACAGCCTGTAGTGGTTTCCTTGTCACACACATCGCCCTAACCCACGGCGATCAATGTCATTGGCAATGGTCGATCGATTTAACTATTGTATGCGGACTATACTTATCTCTTATATTCGCGCTATATTAACCTCGTTCAGTAAGTGATACGGAAGGGGGTATTCCGACCTTTCAGCACTCTATACTAGTAACTTTATTTTACACGGATGTTATCGCCTTCATCTACATTAGGCGGCCTTGTGGCTAGATCAACGATCGCTCTAGTCGCAAGAAATCCACCAGAAAACGCTGGATATACTGATATGGCTATTTCATCACCCTGCCTTGCCTTCTCACAGACAGCAACCGGGCTGGCTGCAGCGTCTGTACGCGATACTGACATTTGGTCTAAATGAGCGGGGAGAAGAGAAGGCTCTGTTACAATATTACTGACGGCATCGACATGATGGAGCCATACTTCGGGAATTGTAGGTTATCAGCTAGTTGTGCGGTAGACAAAATAACAGAGTATATACCACGCTCTAATTCTCCCAAGCCCCTGACGCCGACTGTTGCCGCAAAGAATCAAGAAAGGTTCTCACACAATGGGCACGTGTAGTGGCCACCATATGCTAGTGTCGTTCTATGCGACCATTATATATTTGTGTTATATAAACTGTCGTGCGCCCGATTCTTGGCACAGAGACCTCCACCTGTATCTGCGCTGTGAAGGAATGAACGGTTTGTGGATACTCATTCACACTGACTGATATCAAGTGTGAAAGGCTCGAGGTATGATCGAGGTGGAAAGAAGAAGATGTGCGTAATGCGCTGGGTGGGTTCGACGTGTTTCGATGCTGGATGTCCCACAGAGAGGAGGGGGTCAGGTTGCCGCAGCTTGCGCGGAGTAGTGCAGTCAGATCGCGGAAACAAAGATCTTACAACCGACTACCCCCTCTGGTTTGTTGGGCTACTCACTACACTCCTAATTATCCTTGCTATTTTCTGAACGGATCTTCTTCCTCTCTCATCCCCACATCCTCCACCACACACACACACACCTCGCATCATACTTTCTCACAACTACATACACAAACCCATCACACAGTCCACAACTACACAAATCCACACTCCAGCTCATTAAGCTACACACACACACAATCAGCTTGGCCTGGTTCTCCTCAGTCATCAGCGATTAAAGTCTTAATTTAAACTCGATGCCAAAGTATTACACCCAAGTGAGCGAGACAGCAGGAGTGAGCCTCGAAAACACGCATTTGATCACACAGCTAGGACAAGCGAAAAGCCAACCAACAACATCTCACAGTTGTGTGTGACTTCCTGAACTCCGGTTGACCCTACACTATCAGCACCACTAGCACATCACACACGAGGAACGCTAGATCTACTCATCACTACACAGATCGCATCATCAGCACTACACAACCATCACACGCTACCGAAGACGACCTACACTTCTGAAAAGATGTACTACTCAATTCGACACTAAACTGCCCAAACACCAGTGGTAGGCAAGTCCCGCCTCTGCCGGCACATAGCACCCACACACACTCACACGTGCACACACACATCGACTCGCACGACAAGCAAAGCCATGGAAACACACACATGCAGACGCACATTTCAATTCATTTGAATTATATAAAATGATGGTCTCACTTCTTACATACAGATTTCTTCAGACACACTACTGCACCCTCTGAAGCAAACATCACTTATCTGCATTTCGCATGGCCAGAACACAGTCTTTTGCTTTAAGATCATGTGATTTAAGACTGTGCTGCTCAGAGGCTCCTGCTCGCTACGTTCCAATAAACTCCGAGCAGAGAGTCAGCCTTACATCCTCATGGTCACAAGTTAGACCGGTGAGTCATTGGATTCTCGAAGCGCTGAAGGGGACGGGTGTTCAGCGGATGGTTTTTTCTCATCTCAACCTGAAGTTGGCCGCTTTGAACATCCTCAGGAAAGCTTTTTTTTTTTTTCCATGTTTACTCAGACCCTCGTTTGTGTCGAGACTTAAGATAGATCTTTCTTCCGCCTGCGACAAAACACACCACACGAACATATTAGTCCTGCCAGACCAACGTCCAAGCCTAATCTCCAAACAACAGCATGGACACCACACACAAAACTTCTACAAGAAATACTACATTAGTATCTACACCGTCATTAACACTTAAATCTTTACTTGGACGTGGAGGCAGAACAACGCTTAGAATCCTTAAGGGGTTATACAATTCCTGAAAGCCTTATTGTAAAGTTTTTTAATGAGGTTTGTGGTCCCCCAGAGACTTTGTGTCTGGTGACCTTGGGGTCAGGATGCATACCAGCAAGCTGTCAGATTTAGTGCTGCAGCTGAATTCCTCTTTCCCATGTTTTGATTAATTAAGTAGTTTAGGGTCATTATGTCACCCGCCGTTCCCAATTTCCCAACTCTGACTTGCCATCTGCTGGTCAAGTCGTCCAGTAAAGTAGGAAGAGGCAGACTGGGGAACAAATGAGGCCCACTGACCCTACAGATATGAACTTTGACCCAGCGGGGAGATTAGGTGGACGTCAGTAGAATTTGTAAAAACCCTGGTCGTGTGAGGAGAGAAGTAGTGAGCTTGTCATCGCAGCGCACCAAAAATCCAATACAATGTGATTTTATAATCGTGATTGACCCTTGTACAACTCATCAAAGGAACTCGAGTGCGCTCGCCAGCATAGGTCATTTTACATTGTTAAGCTTCTTGAATAGCTGTAAATAGGTTCGACCTAATCTACTGATGTCGTTAGTGGCCTGGGCCACCACCCTTGTTTTCTTTTGCTGGGTGTGGTCAATGCGTGCCCTGGCTGGGTCCACCGACACCTCAGAATTCTTTTGAAAGCTGCCTATAGATCAGGCTTCCAAGTGTTTAATCCCAACTTCAAAGATGTGTTATTGCACACAAAAGAAGGAATAAGAGACGAATGGAGGGTGTCTAAGTAAGCGTAGTCTGCGTTTGAATTATAGGTCAGTGAGGACAAACCTGGGTCATGGTTTTGGTTCTTGTTCCCTCACGACATGGAAACTAATATTCTTTATGCACCGCTGCTCGCTGCTGGGCGCGAGAGAAGTGTGCAAGAGTGCAAACGCCAGAGGCAGGACCCTTCAGAGGAAACTCCGCCTGCTGCATCCTGCTCACAAGAGCTTTTGCGCCGCTCTGCTGGTTCAAATAACATCACTCGGCGTCCAGCCATCATGTAGCAATATCCAAAGATGTATTGCCTATTGGTGAGGTGTAGGGGAATATGATTGATCAAATAACTAACATATGTTTCCCCTGAGTCTGGCCCAACATGTTTGGTTCTCTGAGCTCCACCATCCTGTCTCTGATGATCGGCTCCTACGCCTCCTCTGCTGTCACCTTCCCTGGAGTCAAGGTAAATTACAAAGCATATGTTAAAGATCACTTTGTACAACACAAATGGACACTTGTATTGACCCGTAAGAATACATTGAAGAGCATTTTGGGATGTATAACATTTTAGAGCATTATTGCAATATAAAGACAAATTATCACATTTATTTGTATTACTTCTTGTTCTGACATTCTTAGATGTTTCCTTGAAGTCAAACACAATGTAAATCTCTGTGCCTTTTACATTTCACAGCTGCTTAAATTAAGACATTAGCATTAACACTTGTCGAAGTGAAAAGGGTCTTTTGTCGTGATAAACCCACAGATACAAATCTCATGACTGCCACTCCCCTTAGCTCTACATGTTGCTTTAAGTGTTTTTCAGTGAATTAACCATGTGAATGCTACATTCACACTTTCCCCATTACCTAACAAGCAAACATAACAAAAACAACTCAAAGCAAATTCCAGATGCTTAAACAATCTGACGACCCTTCCACTCTCTTTTTACCAGCTCATCTACGATGCAGGTGTGTCCTTCAGCGTGATCATGTGGGTTTGGGCAGGCCTTGCCGGGTTCGTCTTCTTCAACTGTTTCCTCAACTGGCCCACTGAAGGCTTCCCAACCCCCGACGAGGTAGACTACAGGTGAGTGTGAACGCCAGTTGATCGCCTTATCTCTTGGAGATACCAAGGCACAAGCATGTTCATCAGAAGAGCGGACCTTTACTTAAACCTCAATGTGTGTGTGTTTGTGTGTTAATAATAACAGTAAGATCCTCACACTGCAAGAGACGCCTTCATCTGACCAGAAGATTGTCGCAGAGAGACTCAGCGAGAAAAATGGAGATATCCGACACTCCACAGAGAAACTCCCTAATGGAACTGACTTTGATTCTGCACCCAGTAAGTCAACAAACACAACTAATATTCTCTCTGCTTTTATATCAGCGCCTGCCAGTCTGTGGTCAAATTTGTCATTTTACTTATGAAGGTTCTTTAGTGAGTAATATGACCTGGAAATATCACATTTGTAGCAAAGATAAGAGCTGGTTGAATTTTCCAGATACTTAAATATTGCCTCAGTGTTTCCATTCTGAATCTCTGTAACAAGGTAAGAAGATAATGCCGTCCCACAGTTCCTTCTAGCAGCATAATATGTAGCCTATTAAAAGTACAATCAAAGAAGTCCTAAGTCCTCATGATTACTCCTTCACATCAAAACTGGGTGTAGATCAGCTCCCACATTTTTAATCCTAACTCAAAGAAAATGCAAGAAGAAAGACGGTAGCTTAGTCTGTGTTTGAGCGACAGGGTCACTGAGGACACAACCGGGGTCATGGCTTTGTTTCTTGTTCCCTCACGACATGGAAACAAATTTTTCTTTAATGAGTCTGCTTCGTGGGGAGAGAGAGAAGTGTGACCGGGTGCAAAGCCAGGGGCAGGAACAGTTCACGGAGTCTGTGTTCCCCGGCTCACACAAAGCAGCTCTCTGCCCTCTGCTTGTCAAAAGAACATACTACATCTGGATTCAAAGACTGTCCAGAGTCAAGACAGCCCATATATTTTACATATGGATGTAAAATTAGGTGCTTGTTTCCCTTCAGATTTTCTTTAAAATACGTTTTAGAGGCTCACATGGCCATTTATAATAAAAGTCCTTACAGAATGTTTCTTAAGTTACTTCTGTCTACATTGTTAATCATTTAGTTATCCGTCTGATATATCATTAGACTAGGGCTGCTCGATTATGGCAAAAATCATAATCTCGATTATTTGGGTCAATAATTGATGTCACGATTATTAAAAACGATTATCCATTTACTTTGAAAACATCCATTTATTGTGAACGTGGTGTTTTTAACAGTGGATTACCCTGAACGTTAAGTATAATTCAACTGAAAAACCAATAAAAAAAATATTTAAAAAAAAATAATTAAAAAAAATCATTTTATTTCGATTATGTTGTTTTCATAATCGTTGCAAGCCAAAATCGTAATTGTGATTAAAATATGATTAATTGAGCAGCCCTACATTAGACCCTTTGACCTTTGATCTAAAGATATATCTGAGAAGGGGTCACTAAGAAAGGAAGGCTGTTCCCCTCGTCGGGATGTGACCCCTAAGATGGGAACCACCAATTTATACTGTATGATAAAACTGCTTTCCTGAAAGACTGACAGACTCAATGTTTNCTACCCTTAATGGTGCATGTTAACTATGTATGGTATATCTTTTATCGTGTATTTCCCTTTGTCAATGAAGGAAGGTGGACAGTCTTCCTGCTCTTACTGTAACTACAGTAAGAGCAGGAAGACTGTCCACCTTCCTTCATTGACAAAGGGAAATACACGATAAAAGATATACCATACATAGTTAACATGCACCATTAAGGGTAGTTAAGGGCTGTGTGTGACAAGGAAACCACAAGGGCGTGTTCACACAGGTAAATGAGTCTAGCACAAGATTTGGACATGTATCAAAGCTTTTTTTCAGAATGTCCAGTTAAGGAACGTCTCTTAAATTGCCATTTCCAGCAGATTGAACATCACTGCGCCTGCATCACAGTCTCTGATCCCTCTTTCAGTTAGAGACTGTCAGTGTAAGAATTTACAATTATATGGACATTTAACAAGATGATAATTGCATCTTATGAACATTTATAAAAAATGTAACCCTCTATTATGTTGTTCTATTTAACATTTTTACTTTCAAATTTTTTCCTCCATTCCTTCACAAAAGCACACAAAATAGTTTTTAAATCGTGTCACAAACTGAACTTCTGTATGATTTTAAAGAGGGCTATTTGAGCTCTCTAGAAATGTTTCGTTGTGTCCCCTGTTCAGCTGAACTGCTGGTGTGTTATTCATTTAACATTTTCATCACTGCCTTATTTCAGTAAAACCCTTCGGCCTTTTTGCTGTAATTCATTTCGAAATATATATTTCTCTGCCAATTAGTTACAACATAATTTGATATATTATTATTAGTACACACAAATGAATGTGCACATAACACCAGTGCTCTGTGGTGTAAGGAGGAGTTGACTACCTTGATCAAGGTCACACAGGCAGATTAATTCATTATCAACATTCAAAACTTTCCTTTAAGCAAAAGCAATCATGATATGTGATTTCTGACGGAATTGGAAAAAGATTATGATTGTTCAAATTGTATTGTTCTATATTATAAAGTGCTACATTCTACCAAAACAGATATCATAGCATCTGAATCGGGAGGTTTGCCCTCATTAACTGACTTGGGAAAGTGTTGTCCTTATGCAGTAACAGAGATTATTGTGTTCTGAGCTATTTCTGTAAAGCATATGATTTTAATGATGAGGGTATGTGTGCGTATATCTCTCAGACTTTGAACCATGCCATCATTTGTTTCAGAGCAACAACAACAACAACAACAACAGTGTGGAGGTCAGTCAATGCCGGTACACCAAACCCAATTAGAGATACAGAGGTCGTACAGGGACACAGAGGAGGGAGGAGTTGGAAATTACTCAAGTGTGTGTGTGGGTGTGTGTGTGTCACATGGTGTGTTTGCCTATGAAAATGTACTGGTATCAATACAACCTTTGTAGAACTCTTACAAGCCAATTGTTGGTGGAAAAGGCACCACCTGGATAAATATATACAGAACATATGATCCACTTGGTAAAGCTATGAACTTAATTCCATCAACATGCCATTTTTCCATCCTTGACATTTATGTGAGATTGCACTAATAAACATGAATACATTGTTGAGTAAGCCCATAAAGTTTGTGAGCTCCCAGTGACCTCGACCTTTGAAGCCATCTTTTCTAAACAGATAATCCGTGAGTTTAAGTACATTTTTGCACCAAATCTAAAGAAATTGTCTTCCTTAGCGATCATGTTTGAAGAGATGGAACGCACGGACAGACAGATGGATAGCCCAACATAACGCCTTGGCAAATTATTTCGTTTAACAACGTTGTTGGGATTTCAATTCTCTCAAATAAAAAAAATAACATAACTTGTGACACGGTGCAAACAATTCCTTATATGTTTCTTTAGTTAAACAGCCCTCTCAGATTCACATTGAAAACCGTCTCAGTGAGATATATGGTAACAGTTGAAAGGAGCAGAATATTTATTTAAATGTATCCCCAGACTGAGAGCCTTGCTTTCTTTTCCACAGAGCGAGGCTACAGGGGGTAAAGTCACCGGCGAGGGTCATCTGTCTATACTCAGCTTCCTTATCTAAACATATTTCATGTCCGTCTCCTGTATGTACATAACCATGCCACCACGTGTGTACATACGCACAGTCATGCAGAGTTGAAAAGGTTCTGCATTGATTTTCTGCTGACTGCTGTGCAGAACAGTGGAATATAAGAGAGTGGGAACATGGGAAAAAAGAACAAAGGAATAAGAGAGAGGTAACTGAGGAGACTACAGAAAGCATGTCCTTGAGTGTTTTGAATAGAGGTGCAGGGGCCGAGCTTTGGGGAGGGTGTGTTATCATTAACGGGCCGTTATTGGTGGAAACACAACTGGGAGTTTCCATTTGGGAAAGGTCGTGTGCTGCTCTGACTCTGGGACATGCACACACATACCGGAATACCTGCCATGACACAGGAGGCGACACTTGATAATGTTGGTACCAGCTGACACATCACACACAAACACACATGCCTGGCGTGAGTGTAAACAAACACAGCTCCCAGTCGCAGCACATACTGTTTCCTCAGCTGACACAAATATAGGCTCCGACCACGCTGAGACTCTCAGCTACTAAAACTTTCCTGCTCATTTATTCCTGGAACACAAATTACTACTTTCTCAGAATATGAGTTACGTAACTACAGCAAAAGAGAAAGGAAAAGGCTAATTATGGAACAAATTGTGATTTATATCCTTTAAAATAACCCTCTCACGCAGGGCCGGCTCTAGATAATTTGCAGCCCTAGGCGAGATCTGAGTTGGCGCCCCAGCCAGAGAATCGTACAATAGAAAAGATAAAGATCAATAGAGTATCCAAGGAATACACAATAGAATGGGGGGTGGACGTCACATCCTCTGTGAGGTATGCCCCCCCGGGAAGATTTTTTTAAACATTTTAAAGGTCACATGTCATGCTTTTTCGGTTATTACCTGTCCCCTTGTGTGTTATGAAGGTTTTTCTGCATGTAAACGGTGTGCAGAGTCAAAACCCTCAAAGTACACCCTGTAGCGAGTAAAACTCTAAAACAGAAAATACCTCCCCAAAACGCCTTGTTGGTGAAACGAGCTGCAGTGAGCCGTTTAGTGGAGAAAGGGAATGCTGCTGAATACACATACTTTACAGAGATGCTGTATGCGAAACCAATGTGAGTTTGGAAAATTGCACAGTATTTTTCTATTTTAGTATACCTCAACAATGGAATTATGATCAGTGGAAATGGCCATGACATGTGACCTTTAAAGTAAAATGCTTCAATCTGGTGCACTTTAAGCAGAATTACTACTAGATCTAGGGGGTACAACTCTAAACACCCATATGAAAAAGATTGGTTTACATTTTATTAATCAAATAAGTATGTGAACATAACCAATAACCTACCATAGCCAATAACAAATAAATGTAACTTATTTTATTTTTGTTGTTCATTCATATCTTATTTGACCTATTAACATTTATTTATTAGTGCATTTTTTTTAATCTCTCCAGTTTAAAACAATATTTTTGGTTTA